GGCACGCGACGCTGAGCGCAAACGCTTGAAGCGAGCGGCAGACCCTGAACTACGGCAACGAGAAGCGGCGTCCATTCGTTAACGTCGAGCGGCGGATGCTGGACTACGACAACGTGAAGCAGCGGCGGTTCGAGAACTTCGAGCAGCAGAACCTGAGGTTCGGGACCGTGAAGTTCAACGTAAACGTTCGAAGCGAGCGGCGGAACCCGACCTTCGAGAACGGGAAGCCGCGTTGGTTCGTGAACGTCAAGCAGCAGAACCTGAGGTTCGGGATTGTGAAGTCCAACAACGTTAACTAACACCGTTAATAACACCGTTAATAACGATCCGCGATGGTCCGCACCAACGCATGGTTTCCCTAAAAAAAATGGTGTAATTTTTTTTTTTTTTTTTTGGGGGGGGGGGGGGGGGGGGGGTTGGGGCGGCGTAGGTTTAGTTAGTGGCAGCATACCCAGAAAGACAACGAGTGCCGTCACGATGCACTTTTTGCCCTGCTTGATAGGCTTCATCGAATCGTATATCGCCGGTTAGCTACTAGCGACGTGTGCGACCAGAAGCGTCGCTGTAGTCGGCATTCGCGATTGGCGAGACTATGACTTTCTCTATACTGATAATTGCCTGCCCAATCGCCGGTTCACGCTGAGGCGAATGCTGGTCGTGACGTCACGAACGGAAAGCATAAGGGGGCCCCACCGAAACATCTAGGCGCTTGCAGCCCCAAATTTTCTCTACCGTAAAGAAAAAAAAAAGAAAAAAGAAAGAAAAGATTGTAAAAAGAAGAGCAACGTTTTACATTGAAGATGAGTCAGCGCGTTCCCTTTGAGACTTAATGACGAGTAAGGAAAAACAAAAATTAGTTACGTTTTACTAACGTGTAAGTACATGTCTTCTCGCGATGCGTTAAGAGTCTTAAGACTCAGCGACCGCCACAGTGCCGTCACGTTCGAGTAAAACTTCTCCTTTCAGGGTCTCCGAACTGTAACTTAGTACCTACAGAAAAAAAAAAAAAAAAGAAATGTAAGAAACATGAGACGTTGTTCCTTCCGCCCCACTCTTCCTTCGCTCTCCCCATCTCCGGAGTATCTTGCTTCGAGAGATGTCGTAGCAGCCTGTCATGACTCAGCCTTCCAGGCTCTTGGTTTCGTCACTCGCTATCTGTCTATCTAAAGACTTCTGGGGCGGATGAAACGAACGGTTTTCGCGATCGCCCAAACAAGAAGCGGAAGGGGGCGGGAAGTCTTAATGAGAGTCTACGCACGGACTCGCGGTCGGTCGACAAACGAGCCGCTAAAAAAAGCAAAGCAGCAAGAGCGCGCCTTCCACAATCATGGGCGGTGGCGGTGTTCCGTTTCGCAGCAGACGACTTTCTCGGAGCAGCGGCCTGATAGCCGCTGCGTCCCGTTGCGTGAAGGAAAGTCAGCGACCGACCGAAGAGCGGCTGCGCAAACAGACGGTGTGCAAACATCTGACGAGCAAATGATTAACGATCGGAAAGATGGACGACCCGATTAGCATGGAAATAAGCGTAGGAGCGCCGACCTCTTGACGCCAGTCGTCTAGCCAAGTAAAGAACTCGAAACGAGAACGAACTGCGCGGTCAGTAGGACGCGCCAGTGTTATTCGTTTTTGAGCGGTCTGTTTTCTTCCTCTGTTAGTCACTGTCGTGGCTGGATTGCCGCCGCTGCGAGCCAAGTCAACATCACGTCACACTCTCTTTCTCGGACTGCCTTCTAAAATTGCAGACTGGCTATGCGTGCATCTCGCAAGACCTCGCGATTTGTATGTTAATTATTCGTTGGACTTGAACTTGAGGATTTGTTTTTTACGTATGCAGTCACGTATCGTCAATATGGTCACCTTCATCCCGCCCCCCTTCCACCCTCCTCCCTCCCCGAGAATTGTACATAATGTGAGCCGTCCATATTAACGAGACAGAAAATGCATGTATTTAGCCGAACTTTTCTCTACAAAGTGGTGTAATCATATTAACGGGGTTAGTATTTACCAGACGAGACTGTAACACTAGTGGAGTAGCCAGGGGAGCGGCTTGTAGAGATGCAGCCTTCCCCCCCACGGAATCTACCCGACCCTATCACATAAATACATGTACCCCACCCCCAAACACACACACCCCTTCGCCCCTCACATCCCCACTCTAAAAAACGTCTGTGCGTCTACTTTCACGCACAACACTCGGAGAGCCAATCAGCGCAACTTATGGAGGCAGCTCGGCGAATCGGCGAATGATGATGCCGAAAGATATGTTTAGACCAAAAAACGCAGACTGAGTCGTGACATTAAGCATGCAAAACGTTACGCTTGCATTGCTTAATGTCACAACTAAGTCTGCGTTTTTTGGTCTAAACAGATGTTTCGGCATCGTCATTCACCAAGCTGCCTCCGTAAGCTGCGCTGATTGGTTCTCCGAAGGTTCCGCGTGCAAGCAGACGCACAGACGTTTTTTAGAGTGCCGAGTCATAGACATCCCGGCCAGCTCAGCCCCTCCCAAATCAAGCTCCTGGCTGCGCCACGGAGCTTGTACACGAATACGAATAACTTAAAGCAATAGAATGGCAAGGATTTTTTTTTTCTGCGATTGTAGCGAAAAATACGATGTTTCGTTTTCCGGCGGTTTCATCAGCAGCCGGCTTCTTCAGCCATCTGCTGAAAAAGTGACCGAACAGTCTCTGCTAGTATACAAGAGAGGCAAGTTCTAGAGTAGGTGGCCGACTGCTCCCAACGCTTTGGGTCCCCTGAACAGCATGGGGCGTCGCTTTGCGCATATGCAGCGTGACGCCCCAAGTTGCCCGGGGCACCCAAAGTGTTCGAGCCAGTCTCGAATCTATGGCGCCGAATCTCAAATATCCTTTTTTTTTTCCCCCTTCAGTGTCATAACAAAAACATTTTTTGTTACCCAGAGCAAACAACCTCGCATTGCCCCTTGCTCTCTGAACTTTCTTTTGCATCGAATATACTACTTTCGAAAATCCCTACATGCAACACTAAGCGTGTTGTACGAGACATCTTTGGCCATGGACAAGAGTGGCATGGTTTGGATTTGTATTGCCCCGTTGACGAAGTATTGTGCATCTCAGCACTGCATGAAAATGAAGTTAGCGCTCGTTGGCATCGCACCCATATATATCTTCGTGAGAGGTCTCGTGAGACACCGACCTCCAGCGGCCGTAAGGACCAGCCTAAACTTAACGTAGAGAAGGAGTACGGCCAGCCGCGTCCCACACCTTTCTGGCGGCCCGGCTGCCACTCCAGAGTGCAGCGTGGCACTCTCGGGTCGCGGATCATTTAAGAAGCCTAGGACATTGAGACCATGTCACAGGATGATTGGCCCAGTTATACTTCTTCCTTTGCTCACATTCGCACAAACTCTGGTACGTCCGGAGTCCCCCCAAAACGTGCCCCAGCGTTCTATTCGTGTTGGTAGGCCACGGCATACATTAAGGAAAGTCACATATTCGAAAAAGCATGCAGTGTATTTGATCGTGAAGGGATGTCGTGAATTCAGGTTGGCAAATTTGAACAGAAACGGTGGCCAAAAGATACCCAAGATGCTTTGCGCGGCACTACGCCGCTAGGATCGCTTCGATTTTGCGGGAAGTCTGTTGGTGATGATCGAGCGCAAATAAAAATATATTTGCTGCAGTCGGTTGCAGATTTAGAAC